TATTTATTATTTTTATATTTTTATGAAGAGACTGTCAGATCCCCTGGAACTGGAGTTACGCAAAGTTGTTAGGTGCCATGTCGGTGCTGGGATTCGAACCTGGGTCTTCTGCAAGAACACTGTTCTTAACCCCTGAGCCATCTCTCTAGCCCTTTACAAAGCATTTTTTAAAAAGCTTTCAAGTGGATATAAAATAAGACCTGACATGTAAAACTCTAAATGTATCCTTTCAGGAAGAGTACCTATTTACAAAGGACCTATTTTACAGAGTTTTTAGGATCATAAAAATGCCTAGTATCTAGCATGGAATGACTACAGAACTGCCTGTAGGACTCAACTTTAATCCTGAAAAAAACAAAACCTTATGGGTTTATTTCTTTGTCACACAGCAGGTTATTAGACAGGAGGAGAAATCAAATTCTTCCCACTTTTCACTTGAGAAATGTTGGAATGGTAATTGTATTCCAAACACTCAGCTTCCTGAAAAGTTGCTGCCAGGCATCTTCAGGGCTATTTATTTCCTGATTATAATGCCATGGTAACCAATAACCATTTCTTGGGCATGGTCACAAGTAGGCAAGCTCTCAAAAGCAGTGTGTATGGACCTGGTGTTCATTCCCATTAACTTATCTGAACCACCTGTGATAATGTAACAGGACAAATCACAAAACCCACAGCTTTATGACCCAGATGGGGTCTGGACCACTGCTAAGACAACGTTGTAGAAGACAGCAGTCATCCTTCCCTTCTCTCTCTTAAGTTTGAAACTATAAGCGGCAATGTCCACACATTTGAGGGAAGGGGTGCTGGGAATACAACCCAGGGCCTCATATAACTCTAGTGAGCTGGACCCTTTGTCTCCTCTCAGCATGTTTGCAGACCTTGACTCCCTTCTTTGTATTCATGTAATCTGTATTTTGTGAGCTTGAGGGGATATGGCAGAAGGTCATCTCAAGCTGGGCAAGGTGGCTTTTGCCTGTAAACCTAGTATTTGGGAGGCTGGGGCAGGAGGATGTTGAGTTTGAGGCTAGCCTGGGTTACAGAGTGAAACCTTGTCTTAAAACAAAACAACCCAGCTGGGCATGGTGGCACATGCTTTTAATCCCAGCACTTGGGAGGCAGAGGCAGGCATATTTCTGTGAGTTCAAGGCCAGCCTGGTCTACATAGTGAGTTCCAGGCCAGCTGGGGCTACAGGGAGACCCTGTCTCAAAAAGACAAAAAAAAAAAAACAAAAAACCCAACAATCCAAGTAGTCTATTTTCAGGTTTGCTAACAAACAAACTCAGAAAAGAAGCATATGTGTTACAAAGTCATTCTTACAAGTCTGACTTTATTAGTGTTTGGACAGTAAGTCTGCCGAGAAGATTAAATGAGTCAGAGAATAAGGACTAGAAAACTGGCAGGAACAAATCCAGGGTCGCCATCCAGGAAGCATTGCCCAACAATAAAATGGCCCCTCTTTATTTCTCTATTCACAATTTATACACAATCTGTTTTAATGAAGAATTTAAGGAATCAGGATATTGTAAGTGGTATCGTGTGTCTCTTGAGGTAAGGAGCCATGCTGAGTTCTTGCTGTATAATTATTTTTCAATTACAATACAACAACCAAGAGTTGAAGTTCCCACTGGAGTGGTAAGCAGTACTTCATTACTACTAGAAACCCAGGGAATGTCCCAGGGAAATAGACTCATCTTTTAGTGAGATGGAAGCTAGCCAAAACTCCAGGCTAACATCCAGCTGTCTGCAGATCAGCTACAATCCTTTCAGAGGACTCGGCCTCTCTAGATACTAGCTGTAAGTCTTTTCTGGGGACTAGAAGTTTTTATTGAGGGCAATTAACTATCAAGAAATATCCATTAGAACAGGTGACTGTCTCTCAGCTGTCATGTTTCCATGTCCTCCTTGCCCTGACATTAGGCTTGGGACTTGGGTAAGTCCTGTCTTTCCTGATGACAGCTTTACATCAACATAACCTCTTCAACGCATCTGCCAGGGTTCCATTCCTGGGGGTCAGAGTGTAGACCCTATACCAAAGGCACCACAGGGATGTGTGACAAGTCCAATAAATAAGATTTCATCTCCTGGAGCTCCTGGATCTCGTCACTCTCAGGGTCACAGTGCATCAACAGGACCTTTTCTGCCTTCTCTACGGCATTCAGAGCTTCAGGTACTGCAAACCTGAACCAAGGGAGGGAAAGGAGTCAGTCAAACAGATGTTAATGAAGGCCTATTTCCTTCTAAGGACACAAAGAGATCTAAGATCAGACACCTTCAGAAGCATACTGCAAAGCAGAGCTTGAGGAAAAAAAATTGTAAAAAAGAAATATAAAGACTCCAGGATTCTGGCCAGACGTGGTGGCATGCTCCTTTAATCCTAGGACTCGGGAGGCAGAGTCAGGTCTACAAAGCAAGTTCCAGGCCAGCTAGGGATACAGGGAGACCCTGTCTCAGACAAACAAACAACAAAACAAACAGATTCCAGGATTCTGAGAAAAATAGGCAAATCTTAAAACCTTAATCTGATACTTAGGCAAGGTTTATACAAAGGTGTTGGTTTTTGGATAACCACATTTAACCTAGCTTACTCAGTAGTCTTCCTTCTCTCTGACCATTAGTGCTGTCTCTCTGCCTTGGTATCAGGTCTACTTATTATTTACAATCTTAGGTTTAAGCTTCAAACAATTTTTTATAGTGTACCCACGTCATGCAGTGCCCACGGAGGTCAGAAGAGGGAGTCGGATCCCCTGGAACTGGAGTTTTGGATGGTTGTTAGCTGCCATGTGGGTGCTAGGAATTGAACCTAGGTCCTCTGCAAGAGCAGCCAGTGCTATTAACTGCTGAGTCATCTCTCCAGCCCCCCATGGTGGCATTTTCATGCTGTCTCTCTGCCTTGGTATCAGGTCTACTTATTATTTACAATCTTAGGTTTAAGCTTCAAACAATTTTTTATAGTGTACCCACGTCATGCAGTGCCCACGGAGGTCAGAAGAGGGAGTCGGATCCCCTGGAACTGGAGTTTTGGATGGTTGTTAGCTGCCATGTGGGTGCTAGGAATCCAACCCAGGTTCTCTGCAAAAGCAGCCTGCTGAGCCATCTCTCCAGTCCCCACCAATGAGTTTTTAAATCAAGGCTAGAGAATTCCATACAGAAATACTAAAACTAGGGATATCTCAGAGGTAAAGGTGGGTGAGGCATCAGCTCATTAACTCTGACTCTGTTCTTCCATCCTTCCTTGCTATTTGTTTTTGACTTTGAAATTTTTTTGAGGGGGGGTGCAGTGCTGGGATGGAAGCTAGGGCTTTGGGCTTGCAAGGTAAGCACTGTATCAACTGGACTACAACTTTAGCCTTTTCTTTTCTTTTAACTTTGACACAACTGACATAGGTAACTTTACTGTGGAAGTTGTTCCTGCATGCTGTGGAGTGCTGTAGGAAGTTTAGCAGTTTATCTGGCCTCTACTCATTAGATGCTGGTAGCATCCTTCCCTCAGGTCATGACAATCAAAAGTCTCCAAATGCCATCTGAAGGCAAAATTCCTCCAGGTTGAAAACAACTGCTTTAAAAGGATAAGATGCAGACTAGGGAAAAGGCAGAGCCCCTGGAGTTGAGGGGGCTGGGAATAAGTAAACCAAGGGAGATGTGATTAAGTACAGAGGAATGCTAGGGTGGGTGGGGTTGCCTGGCAAGTCCTCCCCTGGGAAACTCATTTCAGATCTAAGAGTTTTCCCCACATCTCTCAGGAGGAAATTCTAAGCTTAAAGTCTGTCAGTAAAACAGAAGGCAAGGATGTATCCAAAAGAGGAAATAAAGAAGTCTCAATATGCTTAAAAGCACTGTAGCAACAAATCATACACAGAAGCACCTAGTGAAAAGCAGAACAACATGTGCTCTGGCAAAGTGCTAGGAAAAGGGAAGGACCTACCCATTGAACAAGACTTGGGCCAGTTTGAAGAGCTCATGGCCGATTTCAACACTGGATGGCCCATGGCGGGCTTCAACCACTCGGAGACTCTTCCGTAGATGGGTAGCAGACTTTTGCCAGTCTCCTGTGAGGAAAGAAAGTCTTATTCCAGAGAAACACCTCAGTCAACTGAGGGCTCTCAGGGCAAAGAAGACTAAATGGCAGGGAGAACAGTCTCAATTTAGAGACCAAGAAAGAACCAAACAGACAAGGCAGGAAATGAAAATGTGGGCCATACCTAAGGCAGCATAGGCCTGTGCCAGCCCATCTTCGATTTCCCCCACCATAGCATGCTCTGCTGATAGGAAGCTCTCAGCATCCTCCTGGCACCCCAACAACTGTAGAATGGCTTCCTCTATAGATTCAAAGAAAAAAAAGCCTCACTACAGACATAGATCCAGTCCTGAAAATGAGAACCCAGGTCTCAAGTTCTGTATTAGCTGGGCAGAATGTAGGAACCCCCCTATTTCTGTGGGTCAAAAACATGCAACATTCCAGTAAAGCCACGTCCTTTGCCTCTTTTCTTCCAGTAGAAACAGGAGCTAGATGGGGCTCTTGTTTGCCAGGGTTCCCAACATCCATTTTCCAATCCAACCTACTCTTTCGTCACGTATAGTCATTATTTCTCTTGACTCTAGGATAAAGGTCAACTTCCAAATCTAGGCTAAAGTAGGTGAAATAGATTCCCATAATGTCAAGGTCTAATTTTCAAGGTAAAGCTGCAAGCTATGTCACACCTCTAGCCGAAGAGCAGGATCTACTACTGCTCTCCACAAGAGACTGGCACTGACGAGGGCAGAACTATCTTCCTAGAAGCTTAGGTCAATAGTCTGGGGAGTTAAAATAAATGACACTAATTTCTGGAGCTACACAAAGCTCACAGAAGTCAGGGATAATTCTGTGGCTAGAGGTACTAGGACTTATCTAGTTGATGCTTAAAACAGCAACAGCTTAAATTATCTGGCACTTTTTCAAGGACACAGGACTAAAGGCTGGTTAGGATTTAGTCTCGCTGGCCTATATAGCCATCTTGTGGCTGGTACTGGGATAATTAAATTGGATTCTTCAATCATTACTGAGTATGCTTGAGTACAAGGTAGTATCAGGATAAACAAAAGGGAAAAGGCCGAAGGAGCCAAGCAGGGAGCTAGTCTCACCGAGTTTACCATCTCTGAGAAGTCTCTGGGCCATGTAAACCTGTTGCTGGAGATCTTGTAGGTGAGAGACCAGGCGGTCCCTGTTGACAGATTCCATGCAAGATCTGTTGCCACAGCTCAGCACAGCACCTCCCTGTAGAAGTCAGTTCTACCTTTATTCCTAAGCCAGAGTCAGTTATCAATATTGCTCATGCTTATGTTACAGGGTCACTGTCCTGATGAGGGAAAGGCCTGATTGAATTTGATCTGGCAGCAATTCTAATAAAAGCAGTAATCGATCCCACTCAGATTTAATTTTTGGAAAAGAGCTGATAATAGTTTGTAACCCTTTCCATCTGGACAGCCCTTCTCATAGCTCGTTGGAAACAGGCCTTTGGGTGACAGACATATTTCTTTTTCTTTAATAAATAAATCTTTTAAAAAATATATTGTATTTTTATTTTATGTGTTTGGGTGTATTGCCTGCATGTAGGTAAGCGCACCTGTGTCATGCAATGCCCGAGGAAGACAGAAGCGGCTGTCGGATCCCCTGTAACTGGAATTATGGACAATTAACTGCTATGTGGGTGCTGGGATTCAAACCCGGGTCTTCTGCAAGAACAGCAGTGTTCTTAACCACTGAGCCATCTCTCCAGCCCCGACAGACATACTTCTAATGGTTATAAAAAAAGCCATAAGAAAACCAATATAAAAAGATGGGTATGGTATGGTGAGACACACTGTTGTTATACTGGTACTTGGGAAGTGGAGGCAGGAGGATGAAAGTTTGAGGCCAGCCTAAGCTACATAATGAGTTCTAGATCATCCTTGTCCAGAAAGGGAGAGAGAGAAAGAGAAAGAGAAAGCTCAAAGGATAAAATAATTTTATTAAGAATCTAGAAAGGCTGAGCATGGTAGCACATGCCTTTAAACCCAGTATTAGGGAGGCAGAGGCAGGCTGATTTCTGTGAGTTTGAGGCCATCCAGGGCTACATAGTGAGACCCTGACTTGGAAAAAAAAAGAATCTGGAGAAGCCAGAAGTGGTTGAGGCAGCAGAATCTTGAGTTTAAGGCTAGCTTGAGCTATGGCGTAAGTACAAGGCTAGCCTGCGATCCACAATAAAAAAAAGGAGAGGAGGAGAGAGAGAGACAGAGAGAGAGACAGAGGGGAGAGGGAGAGAGACAGAGACAGAGACAGAGAGAGGGAGGGGGAGAGAGAGAGAGAGACTACAATACAAAGGGTGGTCGGTGAGGCTTCACATTGGACATTGGGCTTACAATTTTAGCATTTCAACAACTAATCTGCACTCCATTTATAGTATTCTTAACAAGAATACTATCTTCTGGTAGAGGAGAAAACCTTTCACATGGACACTAATGTGTTGAAGATTCCAGTGTCTATACTGTCATCTGGTAACAGCAATCCAAATTTTCCTAAAGATTTACCCTCATTCTCCCAAGGTCAATGCCCTAGAGCTGAGGGGGGTCAGATAGAGCTCCTTTTTTCTGGGTCAAATGGCTGAGGGAAAATTATGTAGCTCTGATTTTCCTCTAGCCAGTTACTATATCAGTGACATACTATAAGACTTTTTTGCCCAGACTGCTTTTAGATTGGCACATGTTTTCATCCTATTGGCAGGGTGGACAAGGAGGCTGAGCTGCTGGCTCAGCAAACGTGTCTGATGAAACTAGCAGAGGGAACATAGTTGAAAAGATAGAAAACCTGAGTCCTGGTAATACATTATCTGAGCCCCAAGATTGAGCTGTATTTGAAGTAGCCTTACTCTGGACTTTTTTTTTTGTCTTTTTGAGACAGCATCTCCCTGGAGGCCCAGCGGTCCTGGAACTCACTATGTAGACCAGGCTGGCCTTGAACTCACAGAGATCAGCCTGCCTCTGCCTCCCAGTGCTGTGACTAAAGGCATGCACCACCATACCCAGCCTGCCCTGGAATTTTTTAACAGATGGAGTATCACGTTATACATCCTATTGCCTCAGCCTCCTGGATGCTGGGATTACAAACATGAACCACCCAGTGCCAGGCCTGATATGGAACTTTTCAATGACTTATTTGAGCAAATTAGTTTCTAGTCCTTTTTCTCCCTTTGAGTAAGTTAATATTTTCTGTAATTTGTAAGGATAGCATTACTAAACCCAACTTTACCCTGTGGTTGTTTGCAAGGACAGCCAGCATGATGGGGTGATTTACTAAAATGGGAAGTGATATTATGCTCTCAGCCTCTATAAACCCCTGGTGCTTTCTCCTAATGACTGATATCATTCTGGTTGGAGCAATGACCTCGGGAATAGTAGAGAAGGGAGAAGAGAGATTTACCTGCATGAGTGCTCTGCATGTGTTACAACAGAAGGCTTCCCACCTGGGTCCTGCAGCTGCTCCGAGCGCCTCAGTGCGACAGGCTGGGCAGCTGCAGTCAAAGAAGTACTGAGACCTCAGCCTCTGCTGCCTTTCAGCAACACCCATCCGGCTCTCATGAGGCCCTGGAGAGAGACCACTGTAGCTACTACTGACGTCAGGAGTCAAATCTGCCTCACAGACTTGCTCAGTAGAGGGGCTGGGATGTGATCACATGACTCAAATGTTGATGGAACTGGGCTGGAGTTCTGGCCTAGTGATAGAACACTTGCCTAGCATGTGTGAGGCTGGGTTCCACCTCTAGTATCACAAAAACAAACAACAAAACCATTGGCAGAAGTAGATATTGAAATACCCTTACAAGCTGCTGGGGCAGGAAGAAACAGAAGCTGAGAAGGTACTCTTAGACCATTTTTAGGATAGGCAGTTTACAGGAATTATGCATTGAGAGACAGGTGACTTTGAAACAACAGGGCTTCTCACTGTGGCAAGACATTTTTGGCCTAAGAATGTACTGCCTCTTCCAGCAGACAAGCAGGGGACAGGTGGAGAAGGGCAGGGCAGTGGTAAGAAGGGCTGGCTCACCATAGCAGTGGACAATCTCTTGTCCTTTTCCAATCTGCTGTGCTGCCCGAACGGTGGCGACAGTGCTGGTGAAGGACACACTGGTGTTGGGGCTGCAGGAGTGGTTCAGGAGGCTGACGACAGGGAAGATACCTGTGGCAAGGCGTATCTGTCTGCTGTTGGTAATGATGCTCTCTCTAGACCCTGAAAGTGCAAGAACAGAGGGAAATATGCGTCAGGACATTTGTCCTGTCCCCACCATCTATCCCTCAGATGTTGAGCTGAGTAGCTGGGTCTGAAGTCCATCTGAGTCATGGCTCCATAGCCGGATCCCATATTGTTGGGGACCCCTGTTGTGTAAAGTAGCAGTCTCTCCATGTCTGGATAGCCCACGGGGCTCGGCGTTCTATGCAGAGACTCCTTTTATCAGCAGGGTGCCTTCCTACTCTCTTCCTGACTCATCTTTGAAGTAGCCGTCACAGAAACATGGCCTCTGGCTCTGAAACTGCCAGGTTTTCCTGTGTGATAACCAGGCAATGTCTGGCAGCCTGGCAGAAGCCCACCACCACATGTAAATGGGGCATCCTGAAAGCACCTATCCACTAAGGCTTTTGCCACTGCCCCCACAGTATAAATATCCTGGTTTCCCTTTAATAAATCGAAGTTGCATCAGGAGCTGTGTCTGAAGCTGTATCACTAAACCCTGCATCTTCCCGGAGAGGGCTGTCTCTTCGTAAGCAACGACTCACGAAGACTCTGCTTTTGCTGTCCTGCACCTCCCCTCGTGACCCGGCAGCTGACAGATCTCGAACCCAGAGGGACTGCCCAGTAAATTGGGACGGAACCCGCCCGGGTGGGTGACAGCGGTCCTCTAGAGCTGCCAGCCCCGGTAGCAGAGAGCCTCAGCAATGCGGTGCGCGACATGCGCGCACCCCAGCAACGCGGCGCGCGAGACCCGCGAAGAGACAGACGCCAGCCAGCAGCTTGTGCTCTGCAAAACCCGTGCACCCCATACCATATAAATCAGATGCAACATGAATCATAGCAAACTCTGGTCCCCAGGAAGTGAAGTGAATGAGCACGTGAAAAGTCCGCTGGAACCTGACCAGTATGTCTGTATGCCACCCCAAAAATCCCAAGATTAGAATTTATAAAAAAAAACCCTCAAAAAGTGATGATCAGTAGGGAGCGTTCTAGATAGGTTTCATAATGTTCGCAAGGACACAGAAACCCACTGAAATTATTTCTCAAAAGATTTTTATGGTCCTGGTGCTTTTGTTTAACTGGTCTTTGGTTGGTTATCATGACAAGTGACCTAGTTACTGTTACATACTCTCTATACTTAAGCAGGCTAAAGTATACAAAAAATCATACCCTCAAGCCTTCTTCATTCTGCCTTTTGTCTAATCATTTCGGAAGCTGGTCAGCAGTTCTCATGTCAGCAAACTTTCTGTACCTGCTTAACCCAAAGCAGTCTTATATCTTTAACAATCTCTCTGCAGCATAGTTAGCCAGTAATGTACACAACTGAAAATCTAAAAGGAGGAAAAAGGGCCTCCAGACAGTGGGTTTACCGAAGTCAACAAGCAGTTCTTTGTACTCATGTACACATCCATGTGTGTGTTAGGTTTCTGTTGCTAGGACAAAATCAATTTTATGAAAGGAAAGGTAAGCTGAATGGCTCATGCCTATAATCCTAACACTTGACAGGATGAGGCAGGGGAATAAGCAGTTCAAGGCCAGTCTGGGCTATATACTTGACTCTGGCTCAAACAAAAGAAGTCTAAAAACAAAACCCAATCCAAAAAGCAACACCAATAGAGGGGAGTAGCTGGAGAGGTTTACTTCGGTTCATAGCTTTGGAGGTTTCAGTGCATGAAAACTTGGGCCTGTGGTATGGCCCATCGTGGCAGAAGTGCATGGTAGAGAAGGCTGTTTATTTCATGACAACCTGAAAGCAAGAGGCAAGAGGAAGGGGCTAGGGTCCCAAGAGTCCCTTCAACATAACTTCTTTTCTATGTCCTGCCTCCCAAAAGGTAACAGTATAGGCTGCTGGCCAAGGCTTTAGCATATGAACCTGTGAGAGACATTTAGGATCCAAATGATAACAGCCTACTTGGTGTTTAGACATACTGCTAACTGATTTGGTTATGCAGCTTCTTAGACCACAAAAGTTCAGAAGATGGAACTAATATGGATGACTATAAGGCAGGGTTTTCTGACAATGGCAAAAGAGACAGGTGATAGATGGGAGGAGGTAGAAAACCCCTGTGAATAACACAATAGCCTTAGAGCAAACAAAAACACTTGCATCACTCAAGATGTATCATCACACTTAGAACATTTCTCTTAACCAGAGGCTCCTGGAGGAACTGCATACCTACAAGGGTTTAATAGCCAAACATATCCCAAGTAGGCTTGGTTCATACAGCTTTGTCTACCTGGACAGTCTTAAGTTATGTTCATAGCCTCAGTTATAAACACGAGGAAAACGATAGCTCTAACAAACTGGTGGACGTATGAAAAATGGTGGTATTTAAAGGGAATCATTCAGTTTTCTAAAAAGTTGGGAAACCATCAGATAATTGTGGTATTACTGTCCATGTGTCAGGAATCTCAACAAGTCATTTACCAAATAAATAACTAATCTAGAGACAAATGTAATGAATAAAGGCAATACTATGAACCATCATGTGAAAATGTTCTACAAAGAAAAAAAAATTAAATGTAAGAATTATATTGTCTCTCTGTAGACAATTCTATTATCTGTTGCTATGGGGGACAAAGATAGAAAAGTAAATACAATTCACAGGGAATCCAAATGACTCAATTTTAGTCAATAAGCCTACAAATTGCATTAAAATCTTTCATCACAGCTTCTCCTAAGTGCTTAGCTGATTTCTACCCCCCCCTCCTTCCAGTGTCTACCTTCTGGAGTATGTGCTAATGAGCAGTGAAAATGCTAAAAGGTGGGCAGCAGGAAGGAGCAGTCCAGGGCACGAACAATTTGTAGCCTGAATAATCAGCCTCTGCATAATTAAAAGTTGACTTGCATCTTCAACTACTGATAACTGGCAGTGTGTATCAGAACAGTTGCTAAAATTTTCCCAGAAAAAATGATCGCAACACAGTGAGTAATGTCAGCTTCCTGAATTATTTATGGATTCTCCTCTAACAGAAGAAGGCCCAGGAACTGAGTGGGGTTATTGGTGTCTGAGTTGAATGCCTCTCTAATTATTTCTAAAAAATTAAGTATTGATTTTTAAAAATTACTCAATATTTTGCATTAGTCATCTATTAGTAGAGATAATAGAAAGAGAGAATATGTATGTACCTTATTAACTAAATTTAATATGTGACATTTTGTATATAAAAATAAGTGGGAGTGATTCTTTAGCAAGATTGTACCTTGCTAATATCCCTACTGCATTTAAAATGGGATTCAAGTAAAAGAAAACAAAAATATTCACTCATACTTTCAGAACATAGCTACCTGGTAAATACCTTATAAAATGAGAAATTGTGTAGGTGTCAGGTTATCAAGGACCCAAACTAAAGGCTGCTGAAGAGTGAAAGCAAAGGGTGGTGAGCCAATCAGAAGCTATCAAAGCCTTAGGAAGGCTTGCTAAGACAGGAATCCAGAAGCAACACAGATGTGCCTCTCCCACTGAGACAGAACCACATATACCTATACCAAGGTCCAGAAGTTCATCAGTGGCCAACCCCATCCCTTGAGATGGGAACCAGAGATAGGTTTCTGAGGAACTTTGATTAAAAATGATTTATGCAAAGATAATAACATACATTTTTATAGGTTTTTGTCAAAGTCTATCCTAGTTAACACTTTAATCCTTCTTCTGTGTTACTAATGAAACAGCTGCTAATGAAATTCAATGAGAACACTAAACTGGGAGGTGTTGGAACCCCAGAGAAATAATAAAAAGGGATATAACAAGATTAGAAATATGCGCAGACTAATACAAAATTAGACAGTTTAAGAAAGTGAACATTGCTGGTGGGCATATAATTTGTACAACTCACCTGGAGGCCAAATTTGCAGTACATATTAAGTGCCTTAAAAAATGCTCACATGAGGGGCTGGAGATATGGTTCAGCAGTTAAGAGCATTGGGTGCTCTTGCAGAGGATCTGGGTTCGATTCCCAGCACCCATATGGTGGCTAATGATCGTCTGTAACTCCAGTTCCAGGGGATTCAATACCCTCTTCTGACCTCTGTGGGCATTACATGACACAGGTGCACTTACATATATGCAGGCAATATACTTGTACACATAAAAATAATAAATGCTCACATGAAAACATTAGCACTGGGATTGTTTTTGTTATAAAAACTAACTAAAATGACAAAAAGAATACATGGTAGTTATGGAAAAATTAAATACTGAAAAATATAGAATCAAGAGTGGTCATTTATAATCCTACTAGGCAGCTACAACATTTTTGTGTATTTTCTTTGTAGTGGTTTTTCTAGTTTTATGTACAGAATGTCTTATTTTTGATGGACTATTACTATGTAGCTCAGCTGGCCTTAAACTCATCATCTTCCTGCTTCAGCTTCTTGAGTGCTAAGACTTACAGGCATTAGCCATCATACTTAGCATACATGGAATTTTTAACACAACAACATGGTACACATGGTAATTTCTGTTACTTCTTTTCACATAAAACACATGGTCAATTAATTTTTGGATTTATTTTTATTTTATATATATGTATGTTTTGCCTACATGTATGTAGGTTGTGAAATACCCATAGAGGCCAGAAGAGGGTATCGGATCCACTGTAACTGGAGTGACAAATGGTTGTTAGCTGACATATGGGTGCTGGGAACTAAACCTGGGTCCTCTATAAAGAGTAGCCAGTGCTCTTAACTGCTGAACCATGGCCAATTTTTTATACCCTGACTTAAAATGAATATTGTAATTAAAAAGCAAACCAATGAAATGACACTACCAACCTCAAAGGCAAATACTATCTTGTTTTCTAGAGGCTGTGGGTATAGCACATTAGTTATGTTAGTGCTTGCTTAGCAAGCATGAGGACCTGGGTTCGATCCCTAGCATTACATAACCCAGTGGTGGCACATGTCTGTAATTCCAGCACTCAGAAGGAAGAGGCGGAGGTCTTCAAGTTCAAAGTCATTCTCCTTGGTTACAAAGCAAGTTTGAGGCCAGCCCTTTCCA